GGATTGTGTACGCGTGATAAAATTTATTATATTGAAAATAAATGGAAGAGTATCCCCCTTTGTCTGTCGGATCGTATATCATTGGGGGTATCAAAATTTGCGAAGAAATTTCATCCAAAGATCTTTTAGTCGACATGCTAATTCGAGAGGCAAGGTCAGCTAATAATATTGAGTTGTCCGATGTCCTGCCTAATTTCCTTCTGTTAGTAGATAAAGAAATAATTAAAATAGGGGGTATGATGATGCCAATTCCTATCCTGATAATGCAAAAAATAAACGTTTATGGGTCGCTGGTTGGGGATGGAAGAACCGGTTATAAGAAGAGATGTGCGTTGTCACCTTCGGTCTAAATGAATAGATCTTAAATATGCTGTTGATTTTCAAAACAATGAATCACAGGATATTTTAAGAACCACCTCATATATTTCTCGAAAAGAGAAAGCCCATTTAATAATATCTGCCTGGGGTAATCTCTGTTTGTTTAAAAAATTAGTAAAACTTCACCATTTAACCATTTCGGAGTGTATTACGGATGTAGAAGGTAGAATCTTAGTACACTTGGCATTACTAAATAATCCAAGGGCGGTTATACAAGCAATGGATGCCGTAAACCATTATTATTTTCATACCCTAAATAACCCTTTCCATCGTAGTGATGAATTCTGGAAAAATTTCATAGAACATTTTGGTGCATATACACGAAATAACCTCCTCCCATTTACTAGTTCAAATACCGCAAGCTTTCATAATACCACACATCAAGAATGCGTTAACACTTTACTTCGCAATCTTGGCCCATTATCAACCTCTGTTAATGAATTTGTACAAAAATTCTATGAAAATTTATATGAAAAACTAGAGAAGTTGACGTGGGGTCCTTTTGCATCTCGATCTTTTGGAATCTTCTCAATGATCGCTATTAATTACAATACAACTAGCGATTACCATTGGGATGAACATAACGAACCAAATAGTTTATGCTGTTTGGTCACCCTTGGAGAATTTAAGAGAAGAGAATTATGTTTCCCTCAACTCCAGATTGTTATACCGCTTCAGCCTGGACAAGTTGTAGCATTTTCCTCACGTCTTCTACTCCATAG